TGTAATTAATTCCTGTATATAATGCAGAATTTTCATCATCATCATGAGGTCACATTAAATTCGGTGCAAACCAAATTTCAACAATACAGCACATTTCAAACCTAATGTTGTTGTTATAGAGGTATTTTTGTTATACTCACGTACATTCATCTAAACATTTCTTTCCACTGCTTCAGCTTGTAATATTTTAATACAACAGTGTGTGAATGCAGTAACTGGAAGTCTAGACACAGTTTGAAATACTGTGATATAGCGCATACGGCGCATCTGGAAAACCACCGCATGTGCATCTCATTTTCTCACATTTGTACAACACAATCAACAATTACTAATTGTTACTGTTCCTAATATGATCACTTACAATAATCCTGCTGTGCAATAAGAAGTGTCCTGGCAGAGAAATATCCTCAAACTCACGTACCGCAACTTTTCTCATCTTTAATAATGTTATTGAAAACATCAAAACTAATTTTATCATGAAGTGATTCAGGTTTGAAATCTCATTAATTAAGACTAAACATCCAAACAGCAGATCATTTTACTACATCATTATGAAGAATAAGTTATAAACTTACCACAAAATAGGCAGCTGTTTAAATGCAGTCTTAATGGTTTAAAACCTCACAATAGCTTCTCTAATTTTCCTCTTTCACTTTTGTTTCTGGGGTAATTTTTTTTTGTGTTCTTCAATGACACTGGGGAAAGACAACAACTTTACTTTTTATGATTGCACATAATCACATATCTTCCATGTCTATTATCATATATCCAATCAACAGCAGCTTTTGTAGGAGACAATTTTATTGATTCATTAGAATTGAATGTTTTTCCACATTTTTTATATAAATTGAAGAATTGTGATTTTGAATAGAAATATTACAAAACTAGAATTAAAAACGCAGTCTATGAAGGACTTTAAGTATAATATATATTGTGATATTCATACAGAATGCGCTTTTGCATTGACAAAGATGTGATGTTTACAAGTCAACTCAAGTCACTTTTATTTACATATTCACATTTTAAAAAATAAATAAATGGAAAAGCAGTGCAGTAGAATGAAAAACATGTAAAGAACAAATATTTAATGTTTGCATGACAGTGACAGACTGAAAGCTGCTGGTATTTTATTTATTTTTTTACAAAACATTTATTGTTAATAATAGTCTACTGGTGTTAAACTTTTAGTCATTTTGAATTGCTTTGACTTTGGAAACTTTTTTAAGCATTTTTTTTTCTCATATTATTTCTGAACATATGATTCTATTACAACAAGTTTGTGCAATATGTGCCTTCATATTTCATTCATCTCTTATGCAAAGATAATTAACAGGTGATTTGTTTTACATTTACACCATGCTGACAACTGCATGTGTGCGGCACTTGGAATAGAACTTTATTTAACTAGATGGTTAATAAAAAAAAGTAGTAGTTAAATTTTTTAAATTGACTAGTTAAATGTATGTAAATATATGTAAATACATGGTTAAATGTAAAAAATACACATCAAAATCAATTGAATGTTGTGAAAAAAACAAGAAACTAGTTTTTTTATTAATTAATTAATTTTTTATTTTTTTTTTGCCATATTGCCCAGCCCTATACACATGCCTATGCTCGCACAATGAAGAGAAATAAAACAAACAATAGGATAAAAATTTCAAACTATTTCCATGTTTTCCGACATTTATCAATGGAAAGCACACTATTTTTCTCCCACTCTCTCTCGCAAATGCACAGACATACAGTACAGACACACACTCATGCACACACACAGAGACGTGCACAGAAACTTCTTGTCAGCACTGCCTCGCGAATTTATCAATGAAATAGTTTGCAGCTGAAAAGCTACATGACATTTCTCAGCAGCGAAGTGGTAACGTTACTGTTCTTGAAGCAGTTAAAGTTTCGCTATTAGTAGAGACATTGCTTCCGAACTGCTGAAAGACGCACAGACTCAGGTAATACAGGCAATTTTTTTGTCAGCAGTGTTTCTACATGCTACATGTGAAATATCAGGCAAATTGAATGACCACTAGGCTTGAAATTAGAAGAAAAAAATATTTTTAAATGTAGCCCACACAGTTCCAAAATTATAAGCAAAAACATATACTTTTACATTGAGTGGCGTTGAAGTCAGCTAATGTTGTCATGCTATGTGTTCATCTGAGTAGTGGGTGGCATTTGGGAGTATCTCTTTATAGGATTATGTGCAGTTTTAATTATCTTTATTCAGATGTATTTACATTGTGCCTGTGCCTTACATGCAAGTCTTTGTCAAAGTCTTTATTCTGTTTTTGGGCTTTACTAGAATAGGTTTTCATGCTTGAATGTTTGAAAAACATTATATTTCCCATATTTCTCTCTCCGGCCACAGGCTTCAGTGTAAGTCACTTTGAATGAAAGAATCTGGCAGATGCTAAAATGGCAACTATCTTATCTGGGGTCAGAGGTCACTGTTGCATTGCTGAAGGCAGAATGCAGATTCTTTATGTGTTGATTGCAGCTTGATTCAGGAGATGGAGAACTCATTGTAAAGGAAGTGTCTCCATCTTCTCTCTCTCTTCATAGAGACTCATTTTGGAGGCCGTGTCCTCCTCCTTTCTTAAATAGAGGGATGAGAGATTAATTGACCTTTTTGTGAAAATGTCAAAAAGACAAAGAAATGTAATTATATAATTATATAATCTAATTCTATAAGGGTGAGTAAATGATGACAGAAATTTAATTTTAGGGTGAACTATCTCTTTAAGTAATAAACTGCAGTATATTACTTAAAGTACTGGCTTTCCACCTGGCTTATTCGTCTTCTTTCACTTTGGTGTTTAGCTCTGCTCATGTGAAGGACACTCTAGAGGCGCAGAGCAGCGTCACATCCTCAAGTGAGACTCAAACGAGCTGCTTTAGGTGACTGAACACTCAGTATAAATCATGATTAAACTTAACATGGGAACTAGATATCAGAATCATTTTATGTTGCTTAATAAGGAAAATAACAGCTCAATGCTGAAATTCAGCTCTCTATTACATGACAAGCACTACTCACTGTTTCATAACAGCCAATCAGCATTCTTATACTCATCTATATCTCAGGAATAAAAATAATAAAAAATAATAAAATAATAAAAAATCAGAACTAACAATGACTACACATGCATAAACCATCCTTCCACAAACAGGGTCGGTCAGTATCACTCGGTAAATATGAATTCAATTCACTGACAGCTGTGTTTTGAAAAGCTTTGCTGTAAAATGTAAATCAAATATTTTTCCCACCCATAAGACCAAACATTGCTTCTATTAGTAAAAACACATTGTGCTATAAGGCTTAAAAAAGAAAACCAAATGCACATAAACCTGAAAGGGCATATGTAAGAGTTACAGAAGACAGAACGAACAAAAAGACAGCTGAGATAACACAGAGTACATATACAAAACATATGCAAAGACATATTCAAACATAAAAAACTGTTTGCAAAATGACATCAGTGGATATACAACAAAATTATTTGAGGTTTGTATTGTATTGTACAATGCACAGCGTAAATGAGTAAACCCCCTCTGAACAAATACAAAAGATGTATTTTCTTTATGATCACTAATACAATTCATGGAAAGATGGCAAAATTGAAATGTATTATACTTAATAAAAACAAAGAAATATGTGTCAATAATACCTATAAAATAAGTAAATTAGCCAATTTTGTTTAAATGAAGCATTGCAGAAATGAATACACTAGATGTAATTTTAAAAAAATGTACACTCTAAAAAAAAATCTGGGTTAAAAACAACCATTTCTGGTTTATTTGTCATCCCAGCGCTGGGTAAATATTGGACAGAACACATGCCGGGTTATTTTAACCCATCCTGTTGGGTTTTATACATTAACCCATTTTTGACAGTGCTGGGTCAGTCAACCTATCGCGAAGGTTTTTATGTTATATAATAAAAGTGCACTCTAAAATCTCTGTGATGCGCTTTATTGGACTTCTTTTGAACTGTTGAACAGAAACACCAATTCACTGCCATTATAAAGCTTGGAAGAGCCAGGGCATTTTTTTATATAACTCCGATTGGATTCTTCTGAAAGAAGAAAGTCATAGACACCTAGGATGCCTTGAGGGTGAGTAATTTATGGGGTAATTTTCATTTTTGGGTGAACTATCGCTATAAAGTCCACTAAAATAAATGAATCGAAAAGCAGTATACAAAGCATTACTAAATAAAATGTGTATCAGTATTAAAGAGTCAAACCTCACTGCCACAACATTTTAATAAACATATATTAACTCATTTCTTGTGCAGTACATCTGAATCAATTGGAGAATTATTTATGCGCTTGAATTTTGATTCAGTTGTAAGCCATAAACGTATAAATTCATGTTCAGTGAAAATCATATTATAAGATCAATACAAATCTAAAACCTAGAGTTGAAAGTAGCTGATAAACTACCCTTTTACAGTCTCAGTGCTGATATTAATGTAACAGCTGCTCCTCCAAATGCTGCTGCTACAGCAGCGACTACAGCTACTCTTCCAGATGAGGCCACTTTCCCTGCAGCTGCTGCTGATCTTGTTGCTCCTGCTGCTGCTGCTGCCACCAGACCTGTAACTGCACCTTGTGCTGCTACTCCTGTTCCAGCTACACTTTCTACAACTACTTCTTCTATAACTTCTCCTCCTTTTTTTGTAATTGCTTCTCCTACAATTTCTAATGCTTTTTCTACAGCTGATACTAATTGTTTGGCAACTGCTTCTCCCACAATTTCTACTGCTTGTACTATAGCAGCTACTGCTTTTTCTACAGCTGCTTCAACAGCTTCTCCTACAGCTTCTCCTGCTGCTACTGCACTTTCTGGAACTACTATTGCTTTTTCTACAGCTGCTCCTGCTGCTCTGCCTGCAATTGCTGTTGCAACAACACGTGCTATTTTTGCTGTTCCTAGTCCAATTCCTGGTACTGCAACTGCACATGCAATCTTTCCCATTCTTCCCTCTCTCTTTATCTGAGTTGATTTAAACATCTCAAGAGTGTAATGCATCATTTAATTTTCCTCCATCATTGCATTGATCTTTTTCAGCAGTTCAGTGATCTGATCTTGATTGTTTCTGTTCTCGTTGTTGAATGAGTGATATCTGCCACCACAGATGTCAACTATTTCTTGTAAATAATCACTTTTCTTGATGTACTCATCCAAAGGCTTTTCCTTCAGCTGATCAGCGTGAGTGAACAGAATGATGGTTCGACACAGAGCTTCTTCTCCAAAGTTCTCCTGAATCCATTTCACCGTGTCTCTCTCCTCTTTTGTGACTCTCACACCCAGTTTAAACACCAGCAGAAACACATGAGGACCAGGAGAGGACATCTCTACACACTTTTCTATTTCAGCCTTCAGTTGCTGTTTGTTCACAGTTGTGTTAAATAGTCCTGGAGTGTCAGTTATAGAGACGGTCTTTCCACCCACCACTCCTTCCTGTTTCTCACACAGTTTATTGGCTGATTTCATGAAATCAACAACTTCAAAGGCCTTTCTGCCCAGGATGGTGTTTCCTGTCGCACTTTTTCCTGATCCAGTTTTACCCAGAAGAACGATCCTTAAATCACACACTGCAAAGAAATACAATATATATGAAGTTTGAATGTATTAATTAGTGTAATTATTGCCTTGTAATGATGCACCTTATAATGCACTGTATGATCTCATGAATAATTGTAACCACAGCTATACATTATTATACATTTCTATTCGTTGTTACACCTATATTTCATGTAAGTGTAATGCATTAAAACACATGACAAATAAAATGTTTCAGTTGTAGCAAGGAATCTGCAAATAATATAATGCATTTCAGCTTTTATTATAATTATTTATGAAAATATTTAATGCATTATAATGTACTTTATGAATACCTATATAATGCATTATTCATAAATGCTTCAAGTGTTACTAATGAGTTAATGATAAAATAATAATTTGGAAATTACTATAAAATAATAGGTTATTGTTCCGCCTTTTGTTAAATGATCACAAGGAATAACTCAATGGGAGATTAACTCAGTAATCAGTCTGACAGTTATAACCATTTCATCTGAGTCAAGCTCAAAAGATCAACATAAGAGTTTGATTCAGTTTGTTTGGACATCTAATAAAGAGTGATTAATTAAAAGAAACAATGAGAATATTCGTCTCTACTGAATACATGAAATATAACAGCAGGCCAATGTGAATGTATCAGTCTGAAATAATTATTTTTTTCATGCTGGATGTTTAGCAGCATTTTTGGTTTGTTTTCTTTAGATGTCTTTAAATATGCATTGATAAACTCAATATAATTGGAGCATGAATGGCCTTTTAAGCCATTTCTTCTTGACTCCCAGTCATTTACTTTATATTGCATGACTCTTTCTCTCCTTTACAAAATGTAAACAACATTATCAATGATATATAAGCATTTATATTGAAAAGGTATAAAGCATGGATAATTACTGTTACAATACTGTTACTTACTGTAAACTATGTTATTAAAGTGTGAAATACGGAGAAATATTTTTCTATGTTCTAGTAAAATTCAAAAAAAAATTTTTGAAGTGAGACAATTATAAAAGATATTGTTGGATAATTATGATAAACACTATAGTTAAATTTGTCAAATATGTTTATATTTATGTTAAAATATATTTAAAATGTTTTATTTTATTTATCTATTGTATTCTATTTATCAAGAGAAAATAAAATAACATTTTTTTTAGAATATTTTTCCTGCATAGACTTTCTATTTAAATCTTCCTGTCATTGTTCTTTTCTAGTTTAACAGCAAAGAAACAGAAATGATCAGTATTAATAGTTTTATCCAGACCTGTATGTGTTGAAGTCATTGTTATTGTCGTCTCTCAGGTTTCTCTGCTGTCTTCTCTCTGAACTGCACAGAGTCAAAGTGCTGCAGCTCCTGCTGACCTCATTCAAATACTTTCATTCAAACCATGATTACATGACCACACCTTCCTGAGAGCTTTACTTTCTCTATTGATTTTTTATTATTATTATTATTATTTTAATTTCTCAAAAACACAAAATACACAATGGTCTGTGAGAACTTCATACTTGTTTCTTGATGTTGACATTTAACAGCACTGGAGTTCTCCTTTGAAAACAGCTTTTTGAAACTGTTTATTTAGAACATTGTACAGATAATATATTCTGCTGCATATACACTGTGAGACTACTAAAACCATTATTAAATCAACACATACTATGCCAGTATTCATTTACCTTGATAGACCATGCATTTCTACACTTTTAAATTAAACAAGTGTGGCAGGTCTGTGCTTATTTCCTCACAGCTTTTTTTTTTCCTTACAACTTTTAAATACATGCAGCTAAAAATTGCAGATGCCACTTGAGGGCGCTATAAGCTTGTACTTGAACAAAACCTGGAGTTCAGGTCAGGTCTCAGTTGTTCTTGTACTCCTGACTGCAGAATTATTATTTACTTTATGTTGCATTGTATATCACAGACTTAAATTCATTTTACGAGCAAGGACCACACCACAACCAAATATGTAAATGAATAGTTTATTGTTCAGAATGTTAGGGATGAGTTGGAAGAGGATGAAAAGGTAAAGGGGATAGGATGATGGTCAGGTTGATCTGGGCGTCTTGAATTGATGGCCTGGAGAGACTCAGGGTGGGGGTATCATCTCGTTTGTATATTTAGGCCAGACGATTAAGACCCCCTAAGTTGGGAAGAGCTGAGGTAAGCTTGGGCTTGACAGAGAACTTGATATTGTTGCGGATGTAGGCGTGGTATGCTCAAGATGACCAGCGGCCAAGGGTTTTGATAGTCTCATCGGAGATTACACATCTGGTTGCTGATGTTGCTGAATCTTGTGGCCGCTTTCTGTAAGGAAGAGCGGATCTTTAGGAAGTGCTTGGCCTGCGTGTCAAAAGCGGACATATTCGGAAATAGATTTGAAAAAACTCAGAAGGAGTATGGACAGAAGATGTACTGTAGATAGGAATCGATGTTCCTAATTGGTCAGTTTGCTTCTTCAAAGGGTGAAGATAAGAGTATCTGAGGAGTGGATAGTAATCTCCAAAATACAGGAGCGGATAGAAGGATTGAATATAGAGGAGTCAGAATGAGTTCTGAGCATCATAGGAAGCCGAAGAATGCTAGCGAGAACATGAATTCTGAAGTTTGATCAGTCTCGGGATTTGGAAGGCATGATCGTATGAGATTATGCAGAGGCTAAGTAGGTTAGTGGTTAGTGGAAGGTGTTTGGTGGTCACGCTCGGGGCAATGCGATTAAGTGTGGCTTTTGAGAAGCGTTTGTAAGATTTTTTTGGTCAGCAGTGGGCTGGAGTATAGAATGAAAGTTGATTCTGGGCTAAGGCTCTGGATTTCTGAAAAGAGAAACAAGACGATGAGTTGGCTATGAGAATGAGGTATTCTGTAAATGAGCTGATCGGAGGAGGAATTGCAGTCGGGCGGAAATTAAGTGAGCCTGCACATAATTGCATGATAACAGCAGCACATGATTTCCCTTGTTTATAATTTTAACTACCATTGCATTGTCCGAGTAGATGGGTATTGATTTTCTGGACCATTCGTGCCCCCAAAGGATGGCTGCCATGATAATGGGGTATATTTCATAAATCTGGTGGAGAAAGCGCTTGACTGCGGACTGAGGGAACTGAACTCCGGAGGTCGTTCGGAGGAAAACCAGCGCCCACCGTAATGGCCGTCAAAGTCTATTGAGGGTGCTGCATCAGTATATAGTTGGAAGTCATCGAGATGAGAGATGTAGTTGTTATAGAGATAGAAGATGCTGTTCTGGGATGGGAGGAATTGTTGCCAGAGGCGCATTTCCATTTGCATGCATCATCTAATATGACTCTGTTGTGGAGAGATGGGATGGCTGCTGCTTTAGACAGAAGGTTGGACAAGAAGGATTTCCCTTTAAGAATTATCCAGATGTCATAGTTGAGGTGGCCTAGAAGGGCAAGTAGCTGACGCTTGTACATCTATCTGTTAATAGAAGTTGGAAAGAAGCAGTGAGATTTGGTGGATTTTGTAGAGGGTGGGGAGAGAAAGAAGATGCTGTTCTGGGATGGGAGGAATTGTTGCCAGAGGCGCATTTCCATTTGCATGCATCATCTAATATGACTCTGTTGTGGAGAGATGGGATGGCTGCTGCTTTAGACAGAAGGTTGGACAAGAAGGATTTCCCTTTAAGAATTATCCAGATGTCATAGTTGAGGTGGCCTAGAAGGGCAAGTAGCTGACGCTTGTACATCTATCTGTTAATAGAAGTTGGAAAGAAGCAGTGAGATTTGGTGGATTTTGTAGAGGGTGGGGATGCTTGAAATGACTGAGATTGAAATGAGTCAAGAGTGATGCCTAAATCTCAATGGTGGTATGAGGTCCTGAGGTTTTTGGCTCTGAAAATGGAATGCTGAGTTTGGTAAAAACCTTGATTAGTGTGGAAATCCTAAGTTAGCGTGAAGGGATGTTTGAGCTGCGAATTATAGACAGTAGAGTTCAGAGTCGAGAGTGCCCCAGTATGTCTCCTGGTTGAACTGCTGTAGACAACCTGCGGCAAAAATTTTTGAGCATAGAGCTGCTGAGATGGGAGGAGGGCGATGAGCTACTCCAGCCGGGCGAGTAGGTGGCGTAGCTGGCCAAGTATATGGGCTGTAGATGGCAGGATGAAAGGGTATTGATGGAGGGAGGTGAAAAAATATAGACCAGTTGGAAATAAAATTGGAGGTTGAAGAAGTCAAGACTGCACCGTGTGAGGTAGTGGCGCTGGACGAGGCTTCTGGACTGTAGAAGTTGAGAATTATTAGGAAGCATGAGAGCCGTATTGCTGTAAAACGGCTGAAGGAGGGGTGGAAGAATGGATGTTGGGATGAAAGGATGTTTTTTGAGTGGGTTTTTTTTAGGAGTATTGAGGATGGGAGGGTATAGGTGGAGGGAGGGGGTAGAATGAGGGATGGAGGAAGGGAAGAGAGAGAGGGAGGTGGGGAGAGGGGGAGAGAGGGTGGTAAAGAGGGAGGTAGAGAGAGAGAGTGAGATAGGGAGGTATAGAGAGAGGGGAGAATCTATTGCTTCTCTGAAGCTATTGAGTTGTAGTATATTTTTATTTAATGCCAGGTCAGCATCTTAGGCTATTTTCATGGCAAACAATTAAAAAATACAAATATAACAAATGCAATAAAAAAAAATTTTTACATTTTTTTTTTTACATTAACATATATTAACTTTTCTAAGTAGCTATTTAGAATAATTAGAAACACGAGGGCCATATTGCTGTAAACGGCTGAAGGAAGGGTGGAAGAATGGATGTAGGGATGAAAGGATGTTTGTAAGTGGGGTTTTAGTGCTAGATGGTGGGATGAGAGGGAATGAATAGAGGAAGAGGGAGAGAGAGAGGAAGGAAGGGAGGGAGGGAGAAAAGGGGTAATAAGTAGCTATTGAAAATTATTAGAGACAAGAGAGCCATATTGCTGTAATCAGCTGAAGGGAAGGGTATAGGAATGAATTTTGGGATGAAACGATGTTTGTGAGCGGGGTTTTTATGAGCAACTGAGAGCATAGAGAAAGAGAAGAATTTTGGGATATATCAGATTGAGCGAGTGCAGGTGGAATTACGACTTGCCTGCCGCTAGGGGGAGCTGCTGTCTGATGCTGTGGAGGAGAATTTCTCATGACGTCACGTGTGACGGAGAGTGGCTTGCTAGGAGTTGCTGGAAGTGCTGAGGGCTCAAAGTTTGTTATGACAGAAGTTTTATTGATACTGAAGTCCATCGAGTCCGTGCCCAATGTGATCTGACCACATTTTCTCCTGGCTTTTCTCACCATAACAAACGTGTTTTATAAACACAGTTACAGCAGTAAAAAAAAAATAACATTAAAAAGTCATGGGTCAGGAGCCCAACTAAAGCAAACACGTATCTCCACAACGGTGACTTCAACCTTTATTATTTTCAATAAAACATCAACATCTAAACCTCTGTTAATTCTCAGTAAGAACTTTTTTAGATGCATGGCAATAAAACCAGTCTGGTTAGATATGAGTGAAGCTGCTGCTGCTGCTGTTTGTAGAGTTGTTTAATCAGATCTTGAGAAATTTAATGTCTTCTTTTATTTCAGTTGATTTCATCTAAGTCTGTGGCTGAAGTCAGTTGTAGTTCTTGTGTTTCTTTTTTCTTCAGTGATTCTGCTTGTTAACAGCAGCTGTTCATCACTAATGATCAATCATCCCTTAATTAATCACTTAATTATCTCATTAACTTTAACACTGCTTCAGTGTTACTTTAACACTCTTTTAGAGTGGGGCCATATATGCTCCGAGCAGTGTTCATTTAACACTCTGGATTTTGCTGTGTACGAAAAACAGTAAAATGTTGAATAATTTTTTTCTTCCACTTTAAATGCGATTTACACCTTTACAAAGTTTCTCTTGTGCATGCAAATTTTATTTACACTTGCATTCATATGTACACTTCCACAATTCTTACTCTGCGAATGTAAATCTTTATCTTTATTCATTACCGAACTTACATCCGTACATTTTCAGGACTCACAACAGTACTGTCGGAACCATAATGGACAACGAATTTGTTGCGTTACACATTACACTCGTGTGTTTCCTGTGTTTATGTGTGGTTTCGGTAACTTACAGCGCTGCAGACACGAGTGTGTGTCTGTGTGTCACATCTTTCACAAAGCTTCACGCAACAGTTTGTGGTTTATGCGCAAATCAAATGCCACGCCTCCACTTGGATGGTTTTGCGCCTTGATTGGACGTCACTGTCACTATGGTTACAGATTATTTTCGATTGGCATTTATTTATCATGATTAATTGTATAATTTCTTTATAGTCCATACATTTAATGCGCCCAGATCCACCCATACATTTTTAGCCTTCTTGAGCTCTTAACTCGACAACAGATATTTATGAAACAGCATCAAAACGCAAAAGAAAATACAGACACAATATTACAACAATAATTAAATGACAAAACCTTTACTCAAAACTTGCACCTGCTCCAAGTGGGACTCAAACCTTGGTCGCCGTCATGAGAGGCGGGCACACTAACAAGGAGGCTAAACACCGCAGCCTCTAGCATCAGTCGCTAATGCACCTCTTGAGATCAGGGAGTGAGGTTTACCTGCAGCTGGCCTCCTTTACCTTCACCCCCCTAAACCTCTCTCCCATCCGGGTCACGGCACCAATGTAACCCACCCCAGGTCCTACTCACACCCGCTCTGAGCGGGACTCAAACCCTGGTCACTGGCATGAGCAGGGGCGGATTAAGGTGGTCAGGGGCCCCTAGGTTGCTCTTTGTGTGAGGCCCCGCACCTTAATCATTATGCTTTACTGGAGAAATGTATTTAGTGCCATACATGGTCCACACACAACTAGTAAGGTGCACTGTGAAGTAGATGTAAATCCCATCCCTATGTATTCATCACGAAACTGCCGGCATTTTTGATGCTCTGGTTTGGGCTTTTTTTAGCATGTTCGTCTTCTGTCGGAGGAGCTTGTCCTCTTTTAAGAAGCCACCTGTCCATTTGATCGCAACCTACCAACCTAACCTACATTATTTCGCGCGCAGACACTGCTCCTGATGCTGGATCTGGTTCTCAATAAATAATTCTAATAAATTGAAATGCATTTTCAATTTATTAGAACTCTCGGCGGTGCTGAACGTGCATTCTACGTTCTACATTCTACATGCATTCTACAATACAAGACATTAATTTGGTCAGACGCTCTGCAACGAATCCTCATTTGATGTTTCTTATGGGCCATTGAGGGTCTTTTTTGTTTGCGCTGAAGAAAAAAATAAAAATAAAATAGTCCGGCCAATCCGAGGCCCCTGCACACGTGGGGCCCCTAGGCTGCAGCCTAGGCAAGCCTGTACATTAATCCGCGCCTGTGCACAGCACCTACCCGCTGGCCTCCGTTACACTTACATAAGTAAATATCTCATTATCCAGATGTTCACATTAACATATCAACGAACGATGGTGAGATTCACTTGTTGATTTCTGCAGAGGTTTGATGGTATTCAGGAGTCTGTTGTAGTTTAGATGAGAGCAGACCAAAACCTGCACCACAATATGAATATATTCTCTGAGCTTTCCATGAGCTTCTGAATGTTGATCTGTGGGAAGAGAAGAGAATGTTTTCTTTCAACAGAAGCAGGGCAACAAGACAAACCGGTTTTCAGCCCAGGCTGCATTTTTACTGTTACCGAAAGTTAGACTGAGCTGCGAATGTAAGTCCAAGAGCAGTTTCCAGTGAATCTTCATCTAGTTTCTAAGGATTGTCACTGAAGGTATGAAATTAACTTGAACGCAACTGCTATCAAGTAATGTTTTTTATTGATTGAGCAGCATATTTACATTTTTGGAGCAAAACAATTTTATTTAGGTTTGAAATAAAGGCTTTGATTAAATGGTGTTTACACATTTCAGAGTAAACATTTGTTTGCTTCAAATACAGTATATATATTTTAAATGTATTACACTTCTTTCAGGCCTGGGATTTATGTAATTTGTGTTGCATACTGCGTGAATATGAATCTCTTTATTCAGATTTGATCTGAATGTACTATTAAAAGATGATTACATTTTAACTTCATTCATCTTAATACAGTACTGCAGCATATAAAGCCTAGTTTTACTTGGCAAATGTGCATTTTAATGATTTGAGTGCACCTTTCATGGCAGATTACAAGTTTGATAATATTCTATGATTTACGGATTTAAATATTTATGTTATCAATATTTCAAAATTAGTTTTTCTATAATAACTAGAGCTCTTTCAGATGGTTTATGCAACCTGAACTGTGAAAAATTTAGACAAATTTGTGTATAGCTTTTCAAAACACAAATCAGCTTTAAATAGCATCAAGCAACATTGCTGCAGCATTTATGAGCAGCAATATCATGCCTCTGCCTGAATGTTTTCAATGTAGTTTCTTTACAAAATGCAAAGTGCATTAAAGAACCTATGTAGTTAATCTTGATCTTGAATAAGCTCACAGAATATAATGATAGTTTGCAAATGTATTTCATCACCGTTTTAAATGCATTACATCCTAATTTGATATTTAGTGCCACATTTTTACAGTCTTGTGTCTGTTTTAAATATATTTTTTCTTCTCCTGCACAGAAACACCAATCATAGAAGATGGCGCCTGTTAATGAACTGCTTCTAAAGATTCTGGATGATCTGGACTCTAAAAAACTACACAGGTTTAAATGGCTCTTAAAGAAGAATTATGCCTCTATTTCAACTGCTGATACTGAGAACGCAGAAGCCACTGGCATAGTGGACATAATGGTGGCACGATTCACACCAGCAGGAGCCGTGCAGGTCATGTTGGACATCCTGAGGAAGATGAAAGAGAACCATCTGGCTGAACAGTTAGAGAACGAATACAAGGATGGTAATGAAGGAGAAGCATTACAAATGCTACGACTGTAACATCAGAAATTCTCTGAATACATTTCTCTGTCTCTGTTTCAGTGGGGAATGCAGTGCAGACGAGCAGAGACGCTCACACTGTTGATCTGAATCTTCAATCAGGTGAAGCTGTAAATGCTCCTGTACTCTCAAGTCCAGTGACCGTCAACTCGAGCTCCGGTGCTGTCGGTATGACTATAACACTGACAACATGAAAACACTGCATGTAGAGTTCTGGTTCAATGCATACGATTCTGTTTTTTTTAAAGGTCTAGAGCAACAGTCCCGCAGAGCTGAGAATAAATTACGTTTTCCAGTTTTGAAGAGCTTTTCACTTACAGGTCCGAGGTAGGAACATTTGCATTTACATTAATTACATTTTACAATAAGGTTAAATTTGTTAACATTAGTTAACATGGAACTAACAATGAGAAATATTTCTAAAGCATTTATTAATCTTAGTTTATGTCGATTTCTACATTTCTACGTTATTAGAAGAAGAGGTTGTGTCTGTTAATATTATTTAATGAACCTGAGCTGACATGAACTAACAATGAAAAATACTTCCAAAATCTACTGCAGTGCTGAGAAGAAATTGCATTTGCCAGTTTTGAAGAGTTTTCCACTTCCAAGGTAGGAACGTTTACGTTTGCATTTTTGCAAACACTTTACAATACGTTCATTTTTTTCTGACAGTAGATAACTTAACATGAACTAACAATGACCAATTCATGTAAAGCATTTATTAATCTCAGTTCATGTTAATATCAATATTTACCAATACATTATAAAAATCAAAAGTTTATCTGTCAATAGCCTACTGCTATTTATTTATATAGCATTTTATACAATACAGATTGTGTCGAAGCAGCGTCACAGAGATAAGTAACAGAATCAATAAAATAACTATGGAGACAGTTCAGACTAAAACACAGTACTGACATTAATCAGTTCATGTCAGTTTACTGTTGGTTCAGTTCAGATCAATAATATTGTGAAGTTCCACAATTATAACATGAGTTCAATACAAAAAGCAGCAATGTTGTTGTTCAGCTCAAGTCAGTTCAATGTTGATTTAATTCAGTTCAATACCTGTCAGTGTTGCCAGATGAGATTCAGCTGTAATTAAAGCAGCGGTACAGAAAACAACAGTGCCGTCATCCAGCTTAATTCAGCTCAAGATTTATTTAATCAACCTGATCTAACAATGGACATCTGCATTTTTATTAATTAACGTTAAAGATAAATAAATACTGTAACAAATGTATTGCTCATTGTTTGTTAATGCATTAACTAATGGGACCTTATTGCATTTGGAGCCCAGTCTCATAAAAATGCGTATAAATAATACGCCAAATAAAAACGAAAACTCGTGCACCTTAAAAAATGCTGGGTAAAATAAGGACAAACCCAGCAATTGGGTTGTTTTGAACCCAGCATTTTTTAGAGTGTGGTATTGATACGCAAAAATGGACTTTGGTGTGCATATGATACGCAGTTTTCGCGTGCATATGATACGAAATTTGTTGGCGTACATATGATACGCATCTACCCCACAACCCTAAACCTACCCATCGCGTAGCATATACACGCCAATGTCCATTTTTGCGTATCAATACCATGAGTTTTCGTTTTTATTTGACTTACTATTTATACGCATTTTCATGAGATCGGGTTGGCATTTGTTATACACCATTATCTAAAGCAACTTGCATTGCATGCTAGCTACAGGCTATATATTCAGTACATGTTCAATATGCCACTGATATCGTACCTTTATTTGTGCTTGTTCTTCTACAGCATAAATGGTCGGGATTTGGAGATTAAACAGTGTAAGTTTAAATACACACACAAACACATTTTCAGTGTTTAGCCAAAATACTTCCGTGCATTAAATGCTCTCTACATTTGTGTTCAGATGCCCGTAATCTTACACTGGATCCAAACACGGCCCATCCGAACCTCTGTCTGTCTGAGAGGAACCGCAAGGCAACGCACGTGAGAGAGAAGCAGCCGTATCCGGGTCATCCGGAGAGATTCGACTGGCAGCCGCAGGTTCTGTGTCGAGAGAGTCTGACTGGACGCTGTTACTGGGAGGTTGAATGGAGCACGAGGATGTGGGTTGAGATAGCAGTTACATATAAAGGAACGAGATATAAAGGAGCTGATAATGACTTTTTGTTCAGCCGTAATGCACGCTCTTGGGTGCTGAAGTGTTCTCGTTACAGCTATCTTGGCTATCACAATAATCAGATGACTAATATACCAGCCTCTTCACCATCTAATAGGGTAGGAGTGTATGTGGACTGTTCTGCCGGCACTCTGTCCTTCTACAGCGTCTCTGACACACACACACAAAAAAAAACTTACATTTAAAACTTATTTAGTTACTTAGAAAAAGTTAAATTTAAAATGCATTTAGTTACTTAGAAAAATTTTAAATTAAAACTTTTGTTACTTAGAAAAGCTTTAGAAATATTTTTTTAATATTTTACTGTACAATTACTATTCAATTCCTCATTATAACTACTCCAGTTTTTCACAGTATGTAGTAAGGGAACTGCTTCAATCAGACTGTTCTGTGTCTCTCTGTGAGATTTAACAGCCTCTGTTTGGACGGCCTTTATACATATGATGACCTATATCATTTGTTATACTTTCAACATTTGGTAATTTGTTAAAGGGATAGTTCACCCATAATGGAAGTCAAAGTCTTTAAAATATCTTCTTTTGTGTTCTAGGGAGGAAAGTAAGTCCATAGAGGTTTGTAACGACATTTACATTTCTGGATGAACTATAACTAGTGTTTCTATGATAATGAGAGTAAGAGAAGAATTCACATCACTTTGTTCTATTATGATTATCTAAAGCTGAAAAAAAAAACATGCTCATGAACTTAATGGTGTACAATTGTTATGTTAAATTTATTAAAATTGTTAAGAAAACTGCATTCAAGTGAAGGTAAAATAGCCAAAACATCAATCTGATTTGCTAATGGTTAATGATTATGTCACATCAAAACATTTTGATTCAATACACTTAATTTTACTAAAAAACTACGTTTCTCAGAAGTCGTTGCTTTTAACATTGAAATTGTAAAATGTAATGTGTGTGATTTGAGATGTTTTGCATACTGTTCATGTGTAATACTATTACTATTACCTTTCTGAATTGAATATATAAAGACTGAAATCATAGAGACGTCTCAATATCACAGTGCTGACAACATTAAAAGTGCTGTAAGCCAATAAAACCTGGAGAAATCTGTCTGTTCTCAAAGCCAGCTGAATGTGAAAACCTCTCCAAAACCAGCAAACCCCAAAACAGACCGAGAGCACAACTGTTTAACTAGTCTTCTGACCGACTAGATAATCACACACTGATACCCTGACTCATTTATTGTCCTTTACAGTAGCGCATTTACCTCATTAAACCTATTTCAGTGATATCCATCAGGCAGTAGAGACATTTTATGCACTCTATTATGAAAAAAAAGTCATGTAAAGCACCTTTATGTTTAGTTCAACTACTAAAATGAGTCAATTTCTTCTAATTAGAAATCTCTAACATATCCGAAGCTTGTAAAAATAAAACGAATTTCATTTCCAGAAGCCATTACTGATGTGCTTGAACTGAAATAAGGTACTTTTTCTACCATCAATGTAAAAGGCTTAACTACTAACTCAACAGTGTGACAAGTATGAGCTTGATTGCAGCCCAGTTATTTAGATGATTTTGTAAAATAATGTGTATCAGTGCACTATGAAATGTACACGATAAAGGCTCTCTTTTTCTTATAGTGATAATTTTCCCTGCATGATGGCGCTGTAGAGCTCCTCCGTCAGACTCTCGTATCGCGCCAGACGGCTGTGGAGAAAGTAAAGCCGGTCGCTGGTTTGCCGTGGGTCGAATCCCTCCTTCTGTAAACGAGTCTTTTGGATTTTAAATGTGCCTGTGGTTAAAAGACATGAAAGATTTTACTGATTTTACAGGAATACAGATTTTATACTGTAAAAATAAGAATCAGTCAAATCCACAGAAAGAAAAAAAAACTGCCAGCTGCGGTTGCCAGAACTTAATTTAGTAGCAAAACTTTACACTCTAAAAAATGCTGGGTTAAATACAACCCAGTGCTGGGTAAAATAGGGACAAACCCAGCAATTGGGCTGTTTTGACCCAGCGGTTGAGTTAAATCTTTAACCCAACCTTCTGCATAGTAACCCAACCGCTGGGTCAAAACAGCCCAATTGCTGGGTTTGTCCCTATTTTACCCAGCACTGGGTTGTTAACTACTCCAGTTTTTCACAGTATGTAGTAAGGGAACTGTTAACCAATTAAAAATTTGTACCATAGCATTTTTATCATTAAATTTAGGATAATTTTAGATTTAGAAAATACGGAGGGAAACTGAGCATGACTCTGTTTCTGTCACCTGTTTTGTCGACCTCGGGTGAAAGTCGTAAGAAGACGGGGCGAGCGTATGAGGGAAGAGCGTTCTGCACATCTCGTAGAAACGTCTCACAGTTGAAGTCATTCATCACGTCCACTATGGCAGCCATTCCTGCCTTCCCCTCCACACCTGATGAATAAGACAGAGTACAGCTGCAGTGACAACCTACAGCTTCACAAACACACACTTTAATGTCTTTAAACATCTTCAAACACATGCGTTGACATCGCTGTATCATGATCTGGAGATTATTGAGCCTGTGTTGTCTTCCATCTGATTACCAACCAAACCAGACCCTGCTTAGCTTCTCAGAACAAACTCTGGGTAGAGGCATAAAAGAGTATGAAAGCCCATTTTGAAAAAACATTAAAAAACATAATTGTGAGAAAAATGTAAAATAAATCAGTTTTATATGCTGGAAAGTCATATTGCGAGAAACAGGGAGACAGTGTAAAAGATAAATGTGCTACTGTGAGATATAAAGCTGCAATTACAAAACAGTTGCAAATGAGAGATTTAAAGTCATATTGCGAGATATAAAGTCACAACTTGGAGATATAAAGTATATAAAGACATTTAAGTATATTTGATAAATGTTCCTTAGAAGAAAACATTACTGGTGTGCATCTTGAGACAAAAAAATTGCACTGATATATTTTAAGATGCATTTTATGTCAGTTTAAACCGCTCAGACATGCAGTTTAGTCTGGGACTAGGCTTAAGCTGTGTCTGTGAAACCGAGGGGTAAAGTCACAGTGAATTATAAAGTCACAATTGTAAAGAAAAGTTGCAATTGTGACATTTAAAGTAATGTTTAAAGATATGAAGTCACATCTGGGAGATAGAAAGCTGCAACTACAAGAAATAGTCGCATTGAGGTATAAAGTCACAAATATGAAAAAAAGGTGCAATTACGAGATTTAAAGTGTCAACTGCAAGATATTCTGCCACAGTTACCTGTGTATTTTCTTTTTACAACATGTAAAGTCACATTGAATTATAAAGTCACAACTGTGAGATACATAAAGTTCCAATTACAAGAAAGTCACACTGTGAGATATTATGTCAAAACTGGGAGATATAAAGTCGAAATTATGAGAAACAGTTGCAAACCCAACCGCTGGGTCAAAACAGCCCAATTGCTGGGTTTGTCCCTATTTTACCCAGCACTGGGTTGTATTTAACCCAGCATTTTTTAGAGTGTAGGTTTTATGGATTGAATTTACATTTGCAGTTAAAAAGCATATTTCATTAACTGATATTATGTTCATTTACTATAAGTACTCAAATCTGTTTTGTGCCTTGATAATACACCAAAAAGGAGGTAAAGAGAAAGTCACATAATGAATCAAAGTTCATCACAAATAGCTTTTCCACAAGCTGAAATAAATACTAATATATAGAAAGTGCACACAAATACAAAACAGCATCATTGTAACACATGCGGCATAAAAAATAAAGTGATAAACATTAATTAAACAACATAAAATATAACAACAAAATACCATGAAATGTGATTCTGGGAATGTCAATATGGTTTTAACTGTGAATTAAAAGTTGACTTTTTTTTTATAGAAAAACTTATTTAGGTAATTAGAAACATAAATTAAAACTTTCTTAGTTATTCAGAAAAACTTAAATTTAAAACGTATTTAGTTACTTAGAACAACTTAAATGTAATTAACTTTGAAAAACTTAAATTCACAACATTTAGTAATTTATTTAGTTACTTACTTAGAAAAACTTAAATATAAATTTTATTTGGAAACCTACTTAGAAAAAACTTAAAATTTAAAACTTTATTAACTTACTTTTTTTTTTTTAGTTTGTTACGTAGAAAAACTTAAATTTAAAATGTATTTAGTTAATTAGAACAACTTAAATGTAAAACGTATTTAGTAATTAACTTTGAAAAACTTAAATTTACAACATTTAGTAACTTATTTAGTTACTTAGAAAAACTTAAATTTAAAATTTGTATTAACTTGCTAATAAAACAAACTTGCTTTTTTTAGTTTGTTACGTAAAAAAACTTAAATTTAAAATGTATTTAGTTAATTAGAACAACTTAAATGTAAAACGTATTTAGTAATTAACTTTGAAAAACTTAAATTTACAACATTTAGTAACTTATTTAGTTACTTAGAAAAACATTTGATTCGCGTAGCCATCAAAACGACGTAACGGATCATGTGGATTGATTCGGCCAACGATAATCCCTGGTTCTCCTAAAGTGTACAGGAAAATACACAAAAAAAGCTTTGTAGAGCTATATGTCTTAAGTATAGTTACACCAGGGTTATTAAAAATAAAAACATAAAAAGTGTTTTCTTTACTTGAAATAAAATGTTAACTGAAATAATATATACTGTATGTACATACACAAATTCATACATACATACAGTACACACACCCACACACACACACATATATATACAGTAGTCAACATTTGAAGTGGATCAAAAAAAGTTAATCAAAGTTGTTCTAAGACAAGAACAGGTATTGTTTTGGTTTTTGGACAACTTTGATGAAAGGTTTTGATCCACTTCAAATGTTGACTAACTAGTATATATACGGTCTTTCACAGATTGCTACAAATATACCCCAGCGACTTAAGACTGCTTTTGTGCTCCAGGGTCACATATATATATATATATATATATATAATTTAAAACTGAAATAAAATGAATAAAAATTATATAGACATATGACAAAAACACAACAAAATTATTGAAACTTAAATCAAAATTAAAATTAAATGGAAAATATAAACAAAACTATTCAAAATATTAATAAAAACTATAATAGTATCTCAAAGATACTAAAATAACACTGATTTACACCATACGACGACACAGAAAACTCTCATTTCACACTCAATATGTGCTGGTTTCCCACTGGCTGTCATTTATCTCTGATGTGAAATGTGTTTATTTAAACTCCAAGAGCAAACAAGGACACACGGAGCACTGGGCGTTTACGTTACCGTTACTAGAAGATGACTTTTAACCCAATTATGATTTACTTTCAAAACTATTTTGAATTTCACGTGTTTGCTCTGCCATGGTATGTGTTCAGAAAACTACACAGATACTCAGTTTGTTTCGAGTTTTCCGGGCAAATATGATTATATTGGCTAATATGGGTTAATATGTTAAAGGACAGATAAATCATTCAACTCTCACACACTTAGTTTCATTACGTAAGGGATAATAATGTACAATCAGCAGGTCATTATTGCGAAATATAAACTAGTGTTCAAAAGTTTGGGTCAGTAAGATTAATATTTTTATTCATCAAAAATGGATTAAATTGATCAAATGTGACAGTAAAGGCATTTATAATGTTACAAAAGATTTCTATGTCAAATGTCATTCTTTTGAACTTGAAGAGTCCTGAAAAATAAAAATGTTTCACGGTTTCCACAACTGTTTTCAACACTGATAATAATCTGAATGATTTCTGAAGGATCATGTGACACTGAAGACTGGAGTAATGATGCTGAAAATTCAGCATTTTAACATATATTCACATAGAAAACAGTTTTAAAATGTAACAATATTTCACAGTTTTTACTGTATTTTTTATCAAAGAAATGCAGCTTTGAAGACATAATCCCTACTAGATATTAAATCACACAAACTAATGTTAATATTTTATGCAGTTTATTATTATTGAGATATCGCACATCTACTGTATGTTTGTGTGTGTGTTTTTCTCACCAGGTTTGCATGGGACACACAGTCCTCGACTGTCCCGTATTAACTCCATTGAGTCCTCATCTGCTCTCAGCAGTCTGATAGGATAAACACTGGGCAGAATCACACTGTTGAAGCCACACGCCCCCACCTGGCCAGAAGAGCACATAACACATCCATAAATCACACAGAATACCTATTCAGATCTAATGAGTTCAAGTAAACACTCACACACACCTTGTTGTCCATGTTGGCGAGGCTGCAGTTGCACTCAGTGGCTCCGTAAAACTCACCGATGCGCTTGATGTTGAAACGTTTCATAAAATCTTCCCAGACGTTGGGCCGCAGACCGTTGCCCATGGCAACACGCACCTGGTGACAAGACTCGGACGGACGGACTGGCTGAGATAACAGATATCGGCAGATTTCACCGATGTACTGGACCACCTGCAAACAGACAGATCATTTACTATCCTAAATGCACAATTACATGATTAGTTGCACTTTAATGTGTTTTCTTTGCTGTGCGTGCAGCTGTCGAGTGTATGAATATGAGATCTAAGATGACTAATGACGGTTCCTGAGGTCAGAGGTCCTCACCGTGCAGTTGTATTTCACACAGTCGTCCCAGAAACGGCTAGCGGAGAACTTTCTGCGGATCACCACCGTCAGACCGTGCAGCACACACTGACCCACACCCACGATGTTACCTAGGAAACACAGAGAGAAGACACATGACTGGCTGATCAGACTGATCCTGTCTGCTAAACTCAGGAGACCTAAACTACACATTCAGTTTCAACATTTAAAAATGATACTTAATGTGTTCCTTTAAAGCTTTTAATTTAATAATTGCAATTACAATACATATCTTTACAGGCCATTTTCTCAAAATGAGTTTTTCTCTCCACTTCAGCAGCACTTACATACACCAAACTTAGCAGTTTTATGCTTATCTATTTTCTGAAAGATTTTACTGAGCAGTTTGTTCATATACCATTCACACTGATTTATATAACACTTTACCCCTAAAAACATGGTAAAACTGCATATCTTTAAAGGTGGTGAGTTTTTTCTCCACTTCAGCAGCACTTACATACACCAAACTTAGTGAGCGGTTTGTTCATATATAATTCACACTGATTTATACAACATTTTACCCCTAAAAACATGGTAAAATGTATATCTTTAAAGGTTGTGAGTTTTTTCTCCACTTCAGCAGCACTTATATACACCAAACTTAGCAGTTTTATTCTTATCTATATTCTGAAGGCTTTTACTGAGGAGGTTGTTCATATATTATTCACACTGATTTATGCAACATTTTACCCCTAAAACATGGTAAAAATGCATATCTTTAAAGGTGGTGAGTTTTTTTCTCTACTTCAGCAGCACTTACATACACTAAACTTAGCAGTTTTAACTTCAGCAGCACTTATATACACCAAACTTAGCAGTTTTATTCCTATCTATATTCTGAAGGCTTTTACTGAGGAGGTTGTTCATATATCATTCACACTGATTTATGCAACATTTTACCCCTAAAAACATGGTAAAAATGCATATATTTAAAGGTGGCAAGTTTTTTCTCCACTTCAGCAGCACTTACATACACCAAACTTAGCAGTTTTATTCCTATCTATATTATAAAGGATTATACTGAGTGGTTTGTTCATATATAATTCACACTGATTTATACAACATTTTACCCCTAAAAACATGGTAAAAATGTATATCTTTAAATGTGGCGAGTTTTTTTCTCTACTTCAGCAGCACTTACATACACCAAACTTAGCAGTTTTATTCCTATCTATATTCTAAAGGATTTTACTGAGCGGTTTGTTCATTCATCATTCACACTGGTTTATACAGCATTTTATTCCTAAAAACATGGTGAAGATGTGTTTTTTTTTTGTCTGTTGACAGCATTTTCTGATTTATGGATTGATAAAAACATAAATCCAAAATCCATATGTTTTTAAATAGTCAGTGTTGATATCTGATGATAAAATTCTGTAACATACTTAAATTTATAGCATTTACTCAAACTGATGATGTCAAATAAGACGCATTCAAAACTGCTGAACTAAAATCAACACATATCTTACACAATATTTACTCAAAACTCACAAGAACAAAATGTTTATGTATTGACAAGGCTGTTGGTAGATTATGGAGCTGACACTAGGTGAACACACTGCTCAGGTTATCAGATGATAGTAATACATTTGAAACTACCAAATATGGGCTGATTTATCAACCTAGTCGATATCACTAGAATAGAGGGTTATTTGAGGTATTCTTAGTAATCTGCTGCTGTAATGCTGTAATGAGTGAAGGACATAAAGTGTGTTGAACGTGACATTTTTGTAGTGCAAACAGACCTGCGGAGTGATAGAGCGGCAGGCAACAGTAAACCACATCATCTGGCCCCAGACCGAAGGAGTAATATCCAAACGAAGCGATGCGATAGTACCTGTTTACACAGCGCACACAAACACAGAGCGAAACAGTTGCACACATGACGTTTGCTCAGTATTTTAAGAACAGTGTTGCACAAACCTGCTGTGAACTATGATGGCAGCTTTAGGTAAACCCGTCGTTCCTGAGGTGTAGATGTAAAATAACCTGTCTGAGACGAGAAACATGTGTCACACATCAAACAGCATCATAATGAGCACATACTGTAGCATACACTGCTGTAGTTTATTTTAACTCTAAAATGGATACAGTTGTCAGTTTTTCTAATATATTAAGTGAAGCGGTAATTTCAGCTCACTTTCCAACAATTACTCAATTAACGTGTATTTTGATGTTTTGACCAACAATTTTCCATATCTTTTCCACTCATTATTAGAAGACTTTTTTTAAAAAAAAGGAAATATTTTTGTAGTGATTGCATTCCAACAGCAATTTTGATTAAATATTTTATAGCTGAGCAAAACTAGAAAACAAAATCTATATTCACAATGACAATTTCCATGAATATTTAGGATTTGCTCATTTCCAGGCCTGTAAATTAGATTTAGTCTAAATTAGACAAACCTTTTGAGTTTTAGGAGCCATGTGATTCTTTACTTTGTGACATTATTTTCATGAAAAAAAGACCGCCCTGCCCAAATTTTACTTTTGGGTTTTATTGTATTTCTACTTATTATTTCAAATATTCTTATTTTTCATATTTATACAGCACCATTAAAAATAACATAAGTTGACCATAGTGTTTTACAACTAAAATATAAAACCTCATAAAAATAAATAAATAAATAAACAGTTATATATATATATATATATATGTGTGACCCTGGAGCACAAAATCAGTCATAAGTAGCACAGGTATATTTGTACCAAAAAAACATTGTATGGGTCAAAATTATCAATTCTTCTTTTATGCCAAAATTCATTAGGATATTAAGTAAAGATCATGTTCCATGACAGTTTTTCTAATATATTAAGTGAAGCGGTAATTTCAGCTCACTTTCCAACAATTACTCAATTAACGTGTATTTTGATGTTTTGACCAACAATTTTCCATAACTTTTCCACTCATTATAAGACTTTTTTTTAAAAAAAAAGGAAAAACTTTTGTAGTGATTGCATTCCAACAGCAATTTTGATTAAATATTTTATAGCTGAGCAAAAAAAAAAAATTTCCATGAATATTTAGGATTTGCTAATTTCCAGGCCTGTAAATTAGATTTAGTCTAAATTAGACAAACCTTTTGAGTTTTAGGAGCCGTGTGATTCTTTACTTTGTGACATTATTTTCATGAAAAAAAGACCGCCCTGCCCAAATTTTACTTTTGGGTTTTATTGTATTTCTACTTATTATTTCAAATATTCTTATTTTTCATATTTATACAGCACCATTAAAAATAACATAAGTTGACCATAGTGTTTTACAACTAAAATATAAAACCTCATAAAAATAAATAAATAAATAAACAGTTATATATATATATATATATATGTGTGACCCTGGAGCACAAAATCAGTCATGAAGCCAGCAGATCATCCAGATTCTGAGCCGACAGCGAATCCAGAGACTCGACCGGAGATGAACCGGTACAGAAGAGAGAAAGAGAGCTGAGAGACTCCTTCACCTCCAACACCGCTGCAGACACACAGACACCCACAGACGGATCAGTGCTCGCTTCAGAAGGGCTTTCAGTGAAACCATCAGATATGGGATTTATTTATTATCACATTTAGTATTTATTGCATATTTATCATATACAGTATGCATATACATATATACAGTCAAACCAAAATTTATTCAGATACCTTCAACATTTCACACATTATGACAGTTTATTCGCTATAGTTTATTTATCAGTTTTACTGATAGTCCACTGTATGAAGAATTTTTGGGTGTAATATGTCACAATTCACTTTATTTTGCTATCATCACTTACATAAATTAACTATAGAATCCTGCACCCACTAGTAAAAAAATATAAAAAAGTATATCTGGTGTCTGAATAATTTTTGGTTTGACAGTATATACAGTATATGCAAGTAATTAGATTTATTATTATTTATTATATTTAATTGTATTTATATCATTATTTATTTCATTTGAATGCAAAACAACATAGGGCATGTCCTTTTTTTATCATACTATTTATCATTTTATTTTTTATCATATTATATATTTATTATTAATATATTTATTTATTTAGTTTGAACACAAAATACCATGGGCTTTGTTTTTTTTTTGTTTTTTTACCCTTGCTTTTACAAAACCATTATTTGCTACTTGTCAGTGCCAGTCAGACATTTATTTATTATTATGTTTATTGCATACTGATTAGTATTTATTATTACATTATTATCTATTTAGTTTGGATGTGAAATACCACACAAAATGCCTACTTGTTAACGCCAGCCAGAAACACATTTTCATTCTGTAGAGCTTCTGAATGGACAACAATTTATATACTAAGTAGGGTATGATGTCATAAATATAAAATTTCATAAATATTTAAAGTCCATTTTGAGTTTTTCTCAACTTTTAGGTAGTGCACTAGCATATATATATATATATATATATACATATAAAGCTCAAAACATCCAATAATTTAACACTATGCACTGTTTTTGAATGGTTATTTAAACAACCTTTAAATAAATATTTGACAAAATTAGTAATTCTTGTCACATTTTCTCATATTAAATTGTATTATGTATATCCCATCAGCTATTAGCCACACTTTTTTCTAAACATCTCCAATGGCCTTTGAAAAAACATCACGTCCGAACAGACTAACAAAGCAGTACGCATCTCACCGTCCAGAAGCTCCGCCCCGAACACCATCCCTCGCGCTCCAGACACGCCCATGCAGTGCATCAGCGAATCGCGTCGCAGGTTAAAATTGATGAGCGCCGGCTCCACGCCCACTTTAGCCAGACCGAGCCACAGCGCGACCATGAGCGGCCGGCTCTCCATGAAGACGGCCACCACGTCTCCAGACCTCCAGCCCTGCGCCACGGCCCACTGCGCCACCGCGTTCGAGCGCCGGTCCAGCTCAGAGAAGCTCCACACCTCGCCCGTGGACTCCTCCACCAGAGCCGCTTTGTCCGGGTGGAGCGCCACGCGCTGGGCGAATATGGACGGGACGGTGCTGCGCATACGAATGTAATGATGCATGAAGAATTTCACACGCAACAGTATGCACAGACCACTGGAGGAGAGAAAGAAAGAGCTAGATGTGTGTATAGTAGTTCTATTTTAACAGGTCTCATGACTAGCTAATAGTAAATCTGTCCATGTCAGTTTTCTCTACATCATACCTTTTACATCGGTCACACTGGGGCAAACAATGTGAATAAAGAAAGTGAGCGATAGTAGGTTATACTCACACAAGGTCTCTCTTGATGGTGCATGCAGCCACATAGAGAAACCTCCATCCTCCAGAACATAAATAAACTCCTAAAAGAGCCAGCAAGCTCCAGAACCACGAGAGGCCCAGCACACTCAGTAGCCCAGCAGAGATCACCGCCGCCGGGGCACGAAACCCGTCTCCAGCACCCATCCTGGAGGAGAGAGGACCAGAGAAACTGAGCATTATGTATTATTCTTCAGCAGACTTTTAACTACTCAAAATCTTGGTAATGATGTGTGATGGCAATGACACATTTTCAATCTTTGGTGGAGAAACAGCCGGATAAGCCTTGAGCTTGCTAACACAAGTGTATAGCTGTATATTAAGATGTTACAATTCTCAAATATTGATTGGTTTTGGTAATGACATCTAATAAATCTACTCTTAGAATATAACTTAAATTAAACGAATGACATTTCAGATCTTAAAACTGTCACGCTGTCATCACATCTCATTTCAATATGAAACATTTGGAAAAATTCAATTATTTTCTTAAATATTTAAGATTTGGATATAGTGATCCTTCATTACAAAAAGTGTGCATATAAATAAACCAAAAAAGAAAAGAAAAGTACAATTATACCTATTTTAGCACATTCTATAATTATTATAGAAAGTAAGTTAAAAAGTCAGGGTTGAGCTCACAAAAAGACACATTAGTGATTGCATACATGTAATTAACAAGTGTGGATCTATTTTAATCTATTATTTAAAGTTAAATGAATAGAGAAAAAAACATTGTTTATTATCCCTTTTCCCAAAAAAATTTGAAGAATTAAAAAACTGAATACTGAACCAGATATATGAAATACACTTTAAAGTTTAAACTAGCATTGCATGTGTGCATATAGTAAATATAAAAGTAGGTCGATAACAGACAGCACTGCTCATGAAACGCACTTGCCTGCGATCAGCCCGTTTAGTTTTGGCCGCTTTTCAATCCTCTGCCGGAAATAATGCCAGAGAAACGTCGGACACCTTCACAGATCTGACGAGAAGTCACCGAGCAATGCGCTCGAGCGCTACACGACTGCAGAGAGATGACACATAACCATTAATTTACTCCCGAGAACTCTCGCTGGGCTCGCAGTGCCAAGTCTGGAAGCCCCGCCTCCACATTCACGCGCTGCGCTCTGATTGGAGGACACAGCTGTCAGTCAGGGGTCTGCAGGTTCTCCGGGTTCTGCGTGTCTGGACTGGCTGTTTTGGGGTCCTGTCAGAACTCGAGCCTCTGAGAAATGAGGGCCTGTGTCCATGACTCAGTGAACAAAACACGGCGAAGTGCCTTTGTTTCGCAAGATGTTTTATTGCCCTTAACATCTGTGACAGTTGAATGTTTCTCCCATTTTATTTTTCACCAAGAGATCAGAATCTAATGTTAGTTAAGATTTTTTTTTTTTTAGCTTTTTCACACCCTCTCTGAGGCTGGAATGAATCTTTACTCAACTGTATCTAAAAAAAAAAAATTTAAGCACAGCTTCTCAACGCAGATATGTACGTCTGCAAGAGGTCTGTTAAAGATCTGGAAAGCATCTGCTGAGTACAAACATCTTAAATTTAAGCACAGCTTCTCAACGCAGATATGTATGTCTGCAAGAGGTCTGTTAAAGATCTGGAAAGCATCTGCTGAGTACAAACATCTGACAGACGTCCTTAACACGTGCATTCTAAATCATAAACATCTTAAAGACATCTTCTAAACGTCTATTTGACATCTGATAGGAAACATCCTCCTATAGACGTATTACAGATGACCAAACACTCTTGCAGATGTCAAATAGACGTCTCCGTGATGTGCGTGTGCTATTAGGGAGCTCGTAAAACCTCTTAGTAAACCTGCACCATTGCGACAGATTCCTTAACCAGTCGGCCCTGAAATGTGTAAGAAATCTGAGTTCTGAAAGTTACAGCCCATGCTAGTTCAAACTATTTTAAATGATTCAGAAAATGTACTTATTTTTTTTTACTTAACCATAGAGACAAATCAATAATATATTGTAAGATCCATTGCTGATGTGCAATAAAAAAGGGAGGTGTCAAGTTACACAGAAATTAATTGGAAACCAGTTCACATTGTTGACTAATTTTTGATCATCCTGTAGAGGTTGTTTGCTGAAAACGCTTTATGGTGCACACACATATTTACCTGACTGTTATTAGACTATTTTTTGCTCAAATATGCGTCGTTTCTTTTCTTCGTGTGCTCATATTCTCGCAAAACTCTCTCCGACCTGAAAGAGGAGACACAACACAGAATAATAAACCCACGAGACTTACAAATGATAAATAATAATAAATAGTTTTGAACCAGATTTTAATAAATAACATGACAGTTATTAATGTATATCCCATTTATTCCCCTTCCCCTCATGAAAATGAAGTAAAATTAAGTTTGCATATATGAAATTGCATATAAAAAGACATATTTGCCAATGTAATATAATATAAACAGACACGTCACTGACAGTATAACTTTTGGTTGTTTCAGTCATTACATTCCTTTATAATGGAGGAAGAAATAGTGAGCTAGAAATCAGGATGTATTTCAGGATGGTTATGGCCTTGCTTCTAAAGAATTACTTAATTAATCATCATAATCAAACTAAGCTCTCCCTCAACACGATACAACATTTAGCATTATAAAACAGTGTATCCTTCTAAAAAGTAAGACTTTTCCACTTGCACAACAAAGAAAAGCAGAAGACAGAAGCAACCTAAATACTCTATTCAAAGAATGGCATGATGACTTATATCTGTTCCTATGGGATGCATTACGACAAGCCTATATCTCCGTCTCCAGTAACAGATGATGCATATCACGTGTGATGAACCAGCATCTGTAGTACTCATCGGATGACGATGAACCCCTGTGAACGTGTACTGCTGAATTAAAGCTTTATCTTCATGCGTCTTGTGTTGAAGAGTTTGTACAAAATCCATCAGCAGATGGCAAGTGCTTTATATCTGTGACTCTGCTGTGCTGCCGTCGCTACGTAGAGGTTTCTGTAAAAGTCAAAGGAGAAATGAAGAAGCTGAAGCCACAAACACTGCTTTAATGTCCAAAACACTCAAACACACACACTAATGTACCTGACTGCTGCTGGTCTGGCTGGTACTGGTTCTGTGTTCGGCTTTCTTCTTGTGTGGACACATTCGGACAAACAGATTGTAATACTCCGTCCTGACCTGAAGTGGGTGACACAACAGGCAAACTAAATGATATTTGACTGAGTAACAAATTAGTTTCTGGGCAATCCCAGTTGCACGCATTCAGAATAGTGGTCGACCGACATGGATTTAGATGGCTGACGCCGATACCGATATCTTAGAAAGCAGGGTGGCCGATGACCGATATAAACCTGATATAAATATATATATAATAAGAAAAATAATTTGAACTTGATAAAAAATAAATCTGGAAAAGAACTCTATAAGGATTGTATGTAATCGTAGGATGTAATCGTATTATAATATTTTTCACAAATAAAAAACTAGTTCACCCAGTAATCTGTTAGTTTTGTTGTGCACTTAGAGTCATATTTTCCCAAATGAAGACCAGGTAACGCTACATTTAATGCACAATACACGGTGAACATGACATGAATATGAATATTGCTGGATATATAGGTCAGTATAGTTTGAAATCTAGGATTTAAGATTACGCTCGCAACTGCGCTCAGATACTGTTGTTTCTAGAGCTGTCAATATAAAACTACTGTTGCTGTCAAAATAAAAGCTGTTTCTGACATTTATCGGCCAAACAGAAAAACTTATCGGTCAATGCCGATAATTTAAAAATGCCAAATATCGGCCCTTGGTGATATATGGGTCAACCACTACTTCTGAACAATTAGTATATATGGCATGAATTGAATGGGATCATTTTGTGATCCTTTTGCATCATTTTTTGAAGCTTGAAGAAGGTCACCATACACTGCCGTTATAAGGACGAGCGTTCTTAAAATTTCTCCTCAAGGGCAAATGAACACAAGAGCAACTAAAAAAAAATGACTTAATATTTTAAATTATTTATTATTTTTTTAGTTTTATTTTGGGTGAACTGTCACTTCAAATCACTGAAATCCTGCAAGATGTTACTGAAAATCTAAAACGAGCCACTGTTACCAAATGTTCAGTGTGTAAGTAAATTCGTCATGGATTTTTTGTTGTCATGGTGTGTTTTAAGCACCGGTTTGGACAGCAGGCAGTGCATGATGAAGATGAGCGCCCCCTGCAGGCTGTTGAGGATGATGAAGAGGTACAACATAACTTCAGTCCCTTTCTCCTGGAAGAGGAAGAAGCCGAAGATCCACGTTCCTCCAAGAATACACAACTGAGCCACAGCGGTCACCGTAAAGCTCCTACACACCAAATATAATTCATCAGAACCACTGATGCACAAACATCAAGACTGACTGAATCTATTTTGAGATCACACACCTGATCTGGTTGAGATTGGAGAGGTCTGGATTGAGGCTGGAGAACTTTCTGGCCAGTTTCCAGACGGTGATGATGAAGACAAAACCATTGAGGATCACAATGATGCAGACGGGCGCGAAGAAACTCAAGATAAAATAACGATCGCGAGAGAGCCAGCAGCTGCAGCACACACATTAGAATGATAAACTTGTCACATGATTACAAAAACACATAAAAGACTAGTTCATCCCTCTTTCACTTTCATAATTCCATTGAAAACATATTTGCCATTCAGACAGGAAGTTGGGGACATTTTTCCAGAGGCTTTAGTTTATATCACAGCCATGAACCCTGATTTAAATGATTTGTTTGCACATAAGATAAGTAGTCAATACTTTTGGCTCGTTTCCCAAAGGAAAATATAAATATAAGTGTTCATAACTGTCAAAACTTGTAAAAGTACGCTAGTATATAGAGCTTAAAGTTGAGACAAAACCCACATGTTGATTCATGGGGTCTTTATTACATTTACATTTAGACATTTAGCAGAAGCTTTTATCCAAAGTGACCTTCAAATGAGGACAATAGAAGAAATCAAAACCAACAAAAGAGCGATGATATGCAAGTGCTATAACAAGTCTCAGTTAGCTTAACGCAGTACAAGTATCATAATAAATAAAAATAAAACAGACAGAATAGAAAATAGAAAAAGAATAGAGCAAGCTAATGTTAGAGGCCTTTTTTTTTGCTTTTGTTAATTGTATAATTAATAAAAAGAAAACAAATAGACAGAATACAAAAAGATTAGAGAAGCAAGTGTTATTTATTTTTTTAAAGAAAACAAGCAGTTAGTAAATGAATAGAGTGCAAGTTGCATAAAATTGACACACTATTTTCCTATTTAATGCTGTAAAGTTGCTTTGAGACAACAGGAGGTTGAATTGAAGGGGATGGTCCGTCATCCAGCAAGAAATGTTTGTTAGACATGCTGAGATGCGAGCAGCTATCGTCGGATCATCAGGATGGAATGAGAGGTAGAGTTGAGTGTCACAAGGCAGTCTCGGTTGAATGTCCACTTCTGAAACCAGACTGGTTGCTGTCCAGGAGGTTGTTCTGTGTGAGAAAGGCAGAGGCTTGGTTGAACACAGCTATTTCAAGTGTTTTTGCAATGATAGAAAGAAAGGAAACCGGTCTGTAGTTCTCTAAAAGAGACGGGTTAAGGGTGGGTTTCTTATTATATACTATATATTATATACATTGTGTCGTGTGCATGATTATTAGTCAATACTCTGATCATATAATTTTTCCATGCATATTTTACCAATTTCAGAAACTCACTGTCGCTCGGTGCCGTATCCCGTCGGGAAGGCGATGGCAGAGATGGTGACGATGACGAGAGGGACTCCGTATCCCACCAAATACATGTAGAGATGCTTTAATGTGGTGTGAAACACCAGCACAACCATCTGGTAGAGCTGAACCCCCTCCAGCAGCATCCAGCAGAACGCAGACAAGAAGAAGAAATGAAGCAGACCGGCCACAATCCCACACGCTACCTGAGAGAGAAACACACGTCACATCATTCTCCTGTTTGCTCGCATTTTCTTCTTTCTTTCCTTCTTTAAGGTAAATTTTTTATTTATTTTTTATTAGGTAATAAAAATCCATAATTCAGAGTCCAAACTAATTTATCAGTTCATGTTCAAGTGTGTTGTCACTGCATTGCAGTGAATTTTGTGTCAAGCTTTATAATGGCAGTGGGTAGTGGTCCAGATTTGAGACAAAATAAAGTGCGTCCATCCATCATAACAAGTGGCTCTGGGGGGTGAATAAAGGCCTTCTGAAACGAAGCGATGCGTTTGTGTAAGAAAAATATATTTACATATAATATTAAATATAATAACTTTATAAACTGTATTAGAGTGGCGTTCCAGCGAATGACGTAGGATGTAGGCATTTAATATGTAACATTTTACATTCAATAGTATATAATCATTATCACTGATTACATACTGACTCAACGTGCAAGGTATTGTGTCGACCATAATTCTGTTGTTTCAGCAGAGCAGAATTATGAGTGTTTCTATTCTGGTGTCACCATTGCCTTTTGTGCATGGGGGACCCAGAACCACAATTTCAGTAAATATGCACATAGTATTTACAGGTAATTGTGCTCTTACTGTCACTAACACTAATTACATAAGTGCATCATGATTATTGATGGGTTTTCAATGCAAAGACACAGCAAATTCAGTCATTTTAGGCTGCAAAATCTGAAAAAAATAGTCCTGCGAAATCCTGGTGGGAATACTTCAGTCTTTCTATTTCAAAATGTCATGTTTAATTTAATGTTACTTGACATTTTTGTGAAATTTACTAGCAATGTATGAGTGAGAAATGCTTCATCACCACTTGTTTCAGTGTAAAGTGCATCTTTCTTGATAATAAATGACACTTGTTTTAATATTGTCAGCATAATGTCTTTCAGACATATTGAAGTGTGATTAAAGTGTCTATTTTCTCATTCAAACACACCTGATTGTGAGTGCTAGAGATCCCACAGAGGAAGACGAGGTCTGCGATGAAGAGACAGATGCTCAGATGGAGATGAATGCTGGTTCGGGTTCCTTGGATGGAGCGGCAGAACCAGAACGTCAGGATACAGAGAAACAAACAGACCAGAGACAGAGCTAAACCCACACGCGTGATCAGCACCAACTCAAACGAGTCCTGGAGGAGAGGAAGTGAAAATAATCTCATTTAATTTAATCTAAACTCTAAATGAAATATGTGAAATCTCAGTTTTGCATGTACCTGGACAGGATAGAGAGCCATGAGCACAGCGAAACTACTGAAATGAGACCAGTAACACACTGTATGAGTGCTGTTAGACCACGCCCCCTCACAGCCCCGCCCAGACCACGCCCCCTCAACCTCATCCCAGTACACACAGGAGTAAACTACGCCCTCAGACTCCGCCCTCTCCTGAAGAAGTGAGAAGAAGAGTTTAGAAAATGAGGAACATGTGAACACCTGCCTGAAAAGTTTAGTAAAAGTTTGGAAACAAACACAAAACACAAGTGTTGATGTTCGGAATAGGATCTGTGCAATGCCAAATATACCAGCTCAGTTCAGTGGCTCTCTTTGGCGTAAATGAAAAGCAGCATCAAGAGCATGACATATATGTTATACATTTTATAATTCATTTTTTATAATGTCTTTACAGTCATAATTTCATCTTTAAAATTCAAATTTCACATTCTCATGCATTTTTGGTGCTACATGTAAACCCTGCTGGAAAATCCAGCTTAAGTTTGGAACACGGTAGATGGTATCCTGCTGGTTTAAGAAGGCCATTAGTAGGGTTACAATAGTTAACTAAAACCAAAACCATAAATAAACATTTTATTTTCTTGAAATAAAATATAAAAACTTAAACTTATTTTATTTCAGCTAGTTGCCAAGGTAACATTTAATTTTTTTATTTAGCTTAGCTTGTACACTAAAATAACTCAAACTAAAACTGAAATAAAAATTAATAAAAATTATACAGATGTTTAAAAGCGTAATAATAAAAATGACAAAAACACAACACAATTACTAACACTAAAATTAAACTGAAAAGACAAAATATAAAAATAAAATCTAATTCAAAATATAAAAACTATAATAATATATCAATTGCTAAAATACGACTGGTAGAGCCTCTGGTCATACAAGCTTAATGTCTTGCTTCCGGCTTCGCTACCGTTCGGACGTTCTTGCTTACTGCTCTGCACTTTGCTCCCTATTTCTGTACTTTTCTCGGATTTTTCTAAGATTTTTACTTCAGCAGATCAGCACAGTGCTCAAACAACACATTTTTGGCACAAACACTAAAACTAAAAACTCTTTGGGACTGGAATAATACTACAAAAAAGAAGACTTTGCCTCCCACTGCCAGCAGCTTACATTCCGGAGGTACGGCTGACCCATCTAATCTGTTTAGTTTGATTATGCATCAAACTAAGATTGCTGTAAAGACACAAAGCAATGCCATCAAGTTAGCTAGGGATTGTGCTGAAAGGCGCTCCACGCATTCTGTTTATCATTATTTTACAGGCCTCCAAAATACTCTCCAGCCTATCTGATCACTTCTGTATTTTCTTTGATATATTGATCTCTGCTACCACTGAATCTAGATCTGTCTCTGTCAGAAAGAGATGCATTAACGAGAACACTCGTGTGCTATTTATGGAGGCTATATCTTTAACACCAAGCATTTCTGCAGACTCTGTTGATCTTCAAAAGTTAAGAATGTTATTGATGACATTGCTCCTGTGAAAGTCAGCAAGAAGACTGGCAGACAGAAATCAACTTGGAGAAAATCAACAGCAGTTCAGAGTATGAAAAGACAATGCAGAAAAGCAGAACAGATGTGGCGGAAGACGAAACTTGAAATTCACTATAGCATCTATAAAGACAGCCTTCGTGCTTTCAGTGTGGAACTAGGCAAAGCTAGACAGTCATTCTTCTCAAACCTTATAAACAGTAACTTAAACAACACTCGCACTCTTTTTGATACTGTTGAGAGACTAACAAACTAAACAAAAAAATATATATCAGGAAGGCGATTAACACATCCTCAAGTTATGCAGAGGTCAGACAGATTCGACCGCAATACCAAAATAACGCCTCACTTCTCTCTGGGACTTTTCCAAACTCCCTCAAAACTGCAGTTGTTAAGCCCCTTCTGAAAAAGAGCTTGATACAATCTTGATAACACTATTTTGAGCAACTATAGACCAATATCAAATCTTCCTTTATAGGCAAGATTATGGAAAAGGTAGTTTTTAATCAGCTGAACAAATAAATTTTCTTCAGTTAAACAAGAAGAAAACTGAAGTCATTGCATTTGGAAACAAAGATGAAGTTCTCAAGGTGAATGCATACCTTGACTCTAGGGGTCAAATAACTAAAAATCAAGTCCTAGATTTCAAATCCTAAACATCCCCATATCTGCTTATTGGCTTCATCACTCCTCTCCACCAATAAGCTGGTGTGTGTTGGGCGTTCTGGCGCACTATGGCTGCCGTCGCATCATCCAGGTGGATGCTGCACACTGGTGGTGGTTGAGGAGATTCCTCCCTTCTATGTAAAGCGCTTTGAGTGCCCAGAAAAGCGCTACATAAATGTAAGGAAGTCAAATATCTTGGTGTGATTCTGGAGACAGACCTTAGTTTCAGTAGTCATGTCAAAGCAGTAACTAAATCAGCATACTATCATCTAACAAACATTGCAAGAATTAGATGTTTTGTTTCCAGTTAAGACTTGGAGAAACTTGTTCATGGCTTTATCACCAGCAGGGTGGACTATTGTAATGGTCTCCTCACCGGCCTTCACAAGAAGACCATTAGACAGTTGCAGCTCATCCAGAACGCTGCTGCCAGGATTCTGACTAGAACCAGAAAATCTGAGCATATATGATTATTTTACTTTATTTTATGTAAAGCACTTTGAATTACCATTGTGTACGAAATGTGCTATATAAATAAACTTGCCTTGCCTTGCTGGTTTTTGGAACCATTTGTAAACCAGCTAGAATCCAGCTTAAACTGGATTTTCAAACAGGGTATTTACATTGTAACTTTTTATTTGTAATTGTGTAACCATTGACAGAAACAGTCTCCACTGAGATCTTGTCAGTATCTTCACCTCCTCGTGTGTAAAGACGAGCATCACCGGCTCTGACAGATGCTTGGTTTCTGCATTACTGACGACGGCCGTCACCACTTTAGAGTTGAGTTGATAAGTGACGCTTCTCTCTTCATCATCTGATCTCTCTCTGCTCATCTTGTGGAGCAGATCGTTGGATGAGTTCAGATCTTTATAACTGACCAGAGCCGCAAACGCAAAACCTAAAGGAAAACGACGTTCACATCTCGTCAGGAAAGTGCTGATGGTTTCATAAGTACATATATGTGCACGTGTTTATTTGTACCTGGATATGATTTCCCTACAACTGTTTCCCAGCTGGTGCTGAAGAGGGCGGAGTCTGTGCTCAGAGTGACACGCCCACTGGGCGGAGTCTGATTCCGTGTGACTGCAACCTCAGCGACTGTGATTCACATCATGAAGATTTAATAACAATGCCTTATTTTCATTATCTCCATTCAGTACCAGAGTGTGACTGTGTCTAAACTGAAATGTGTGTGGTTCCTCACAGGTGTTGTGCGTCTCCATCCTGGTCACAGGCTCTTTCAGCTGAGGTCCGATCAGACGCATGCTGTTCTCCACCGCGTCCAGAAACTGATTCAGCGTCTCGCCGTCAGCGATGTTTCCTTCAGACAGCAGCTCGTCAGAGGAACTGCACACGTTCTGTGGAATAAATCAGAGCTGTTCATTCAGCCACTGTGCGCGTGCATGATCACAAACTACTGTGTGAATATATATCATGCAGTGAGTGTTTGACCCGCAGCAGCTCCTCTCCAGTGACATGTTCTCCATGTGGATCATTCAGAGACTCACAGCTGTTCTTCAACAGTGACATCAAATGCTTCAACTAGAAGAAGACAAATGGAAACCTATAGGCATCTTTACACGACTGAATGAGGCTGCTCTGTGCCTGCTTAAAAATCTGTGTAAAGACACCTCATTGCCACATCAGAAGCAGTTCTGTGCCACTTTTGCAGTGTAAATTTGGAAACAGCTTTGCAATGTTTCTAAAATGTTAATACAACATTCTCCTCACCGCATCTTTACTCACAATACAACACTCTTTGAATGTTACCATTCAGCAAACAAAAATAACACAATCACAAAGAATGTTTTCTAAAAGCATTTTCTGTCAACATTATGAGAACATTCATTAGGTACAAATTACATCTTAAAATGTTGTTCTCAGAACGTTTTCTCTTTACACTGAGATGAGAATGCATATCTGATATTAATAATTTAAATGCATTAAATGTTTGTTATTTTAAGAAAGTTTTATCTTTACATTTACATAACTTATACATAAAACTTATTACTACTACTACTAATAATAATAATAATAAAAATAAGCAGAAGTGCACATCTACCTTCTCAGGTGTGTGGTCTGCTTCAGACTCAAGTTTAAATTGATCACAGTCCATTTCTGTGCACGACAACAAGAAAGACCAACATAAGCAAACAGACTATACTGATTAACTTCCATAAGGATTCCCATTAGCTGCCGCATAACGAACAGAACAATCTAAAAAAAAATAAAAAAATTAAGCAAATAACAGTTTGCCCCACTGTAGTAATTCTCACCGATGCATTTTGACTGGTCGTTGCCATAGTTACTGTAACCCTGGTGACATTTGCAGCTGTATCCATTTGTATGATTGTAGCAGTCGCCGTTAGTGCCGCAAACATCTGGATCATCTCTACACTCATCGATGTCTGTGAGAGAGAGAAGATGGGAGAACATTCCCTGTTAATGTCATTTTAACACAGTTGCACATACTAAGACACACATTGTACGTTTCTGAAGCTCATCTGATGTGACGTTGGTCTTGGCATCCGTGCTGCATCATAGAGTCCAAACTGGTAGCTTTTGTTTAACACGTCAAATTAAACTGATAGGCCAGAAAAATAAAAGGTACCTTCATATTCCCTTTCTTTGGCAGTTGAGGTCTCAAATGTAGCATCACCATATCCAGAAAATTCATTATCAGGACACTTGTTTATATCTGACAGGAGGGAAAGATGGAAGTTGGGGTGAATTATTGTTTTAGTACAAATTATAAATTAAGCCAGACGGTGCACTGAAATACGATCAAATGCTTTTACAATATTTTGTAATTACTTTTGGATCAGAGTTTATGCTAAATGACTAATTAAATGTCTCATACCTTCACACAGGAAGCTCTTTTTGAATCCTTCATCACGGTGGCAGTAGTAACTTCCCTCTGTATTCACACACTGAGTATGATTATCACACACACTCAGAAAAAACGCACACTCATCCTCATCTGAAAGAGAGACAGACGGGTGAGGGGAATCCACATAACATGCATTTTAACTTTGTAATGACTAGAACTACAGTTACACAAACTCCCTCTTTTGACTGACATACAGACTATTAAAAACTGCATAACAGTTTTTAACTGTTAACTTTGCACTATTCAGTCAAACCATAAGATTATAATTACCAACACATTCATTTTTTAAACGTTTAAATCCAATGGCACATCCATTGCATGATGGTAGAAAGAGACCTGGGAAGAGAGAGAAAAAAATACAGCTATAAATTCCAGTGATAGTTTCTTTTTTTACTATTATTTTTACATCTTCTACATAATGCTAAACTTCATTAAATGTGTATGCAATTTGCCGCCAAACCGCATATGATGAGATAAACATTATAAATCAGATTAAGGATATTGTGGAAAAACGTACAAAGTTCACACATCTGCCCTTTTGTTTCAATAAATGCTGCTCTTTTGATCCGTACACGCTACACACGCCTTCACAGAAAATTGCGCGTAGATCTTTTATCCAAAGTGACTTACAAATGAGGAATACAACAAGCGATTCATCATAAAGATGCAAATAAACACAAGGTAAAGTTTCAGATATGGTTTAGAATAGTACAAGCTAGAACAGAGCCATATGGACATCAGCTTGACATAATCACCACTGATAAACTACTCCTAAATTTGATGTAGAAACTTTCATTTTCTGTGAAGCTCTTGAAAAGTGCTATACAAATAAATGTGAATTGAATTGAAATGAATTGAATTGAAATGAACCTAACGTCACCATGCAATGCATTGTGGGATTTTAGGACACGGGGGAGACAAAGTAGACACTTTATACAATATTATGTTTCAGTTATTCACCTTAAGAACATGTTGAAATGGAGAATGATTGCTGTCTCATTAAATGCCATAACCTTTCTCATGACCGACATGGAAAATTCTCCTCCTTCTGTCCCCTCACTGAGGCAGAAGTATCTAAGCTTCTCCTCTCCAACCATCCTACAACATGTGCTCTAGACCCAATCCCCTCACAGCTTCTCCAAGCAATCTCTCCTACACTTGTACCAGCACTCACACATATCATCAACACATCTCTTCTCACAGACACCTTCCCCACTGCATTCAAGCAGGCTCGGGTAACCCCACTGCTCAAAAAACCTACATTAAACACTTCACTTACAGATAGCTACAGACCTGTCTCTCCTTCCATTCATAGCGAAAACACTTGAACGGCTTGTTTTCAACAAGGTATCATTATTTCTTTCACAGAATAACCAGCTGGAAATTAACCAATTAGGTTTCAGCGAAAGCTGATTCCAAATCATCAGTTCTTATTCTGCTGGATCTATCTGCTGCTTTTGACACTGTTGATCATCAGATCCTCCTGCCTGCCCTCTCATCACTGGGCATAACAGGAGCTCCACTTAGCTGGTTTGAATCTGATCTCACTGGTAGGTCTCTTCAGGGTGGCCTCGGGAGGGGAGGTATCCACAGCACATCAACTGGTCACTGGGGTTCCTCAGGGCTAAGTTCTTGGACCGCTCCTCTTCTCCATATACACTACATACAGGCACACGGTTTCTCCCACCATTGCTATGCTGATGACACACAGTTTTATCTCTCATTTCAACCAGATGATCCGACGGTAGCTGCACGGATCTCAGGCTGCCTGGCGGACATCTCGGCATGGATGAAAGAATATCACCTACAGCTCAACCTGGCAAAGACTGAGCTTCTTGTCTTCCCTGCCACTCCGACTCTGCAGCATGATTTCACCATCCAGCTAGGTTCATCAACAATTACTCACCCCATCAAGTTCAGTCAGAAATCTTGGTGTAATCTTTAATGACCAGCTGACCTTCGAAGACCACACTGCAAAAACAACCCGATCTTGCAGGTTTGCACTACACAACATCAGAAAGATCAGGCCCTTTCTTCTTGTACAGGCCCTTGCCATTTCTAGGCTGGACTTCTGCAATGCTCTTCTGGATGGACTTCCATCATGTGTAATCAAACCTCTTCAAATGATTCAGAATGCAGCGGCACGACTGGTCTTCAACGAGCCCAAAGGGCCCACGTCACACCTCTCTTTGTCTCCCTGCACTTGGCTGCCGGTGAAATGTGGCTTTAGAATTTATCTTCATGTACTATATATTATAGATATATTTATTTGCTTTGAACTGCAAGCGCTCACACCACACATAAGGCAGGAAAACACATCTGGAAATATTATTTGTGGCAGCTCCTTGAGATACAGGACCACTTATAATTGTAAGGATTGAGACCATTCATTTCCTTTAAGAAGAACAATCGACATTGTACACAGAGTTGGCCGAAAGGACCGCACGGATATGGCTGATTGCTTCAAAAGCAGCAGAAAGGACATCCCCGTACTGCTCAAAAAACCATAATTCAACAGTTTGTATTGTACTCTAGCATAAATGAGACAACTCTGTCTTTAAGGTACAAACTCAAATAGTAAACCGTTCACAAGTAAGTTTATTAGAAATGTATTGTCCAAGCAGTACTACCCTAGTCAACTGAAAATTTGTTAGGCAAAGAAAATAAAGAAGCAATATTTAGCTGATCGGATCCTTCCTAAGGCCAAAGAGGTGATGTTTAAAATCTTAAATTGCATTTTTCCATCCAACAACTTCTTACATGAAAGATTGAACTGAAAGAGCACTGATGTGGGGTCTGTAAGACATTCAAAGTGTAAAACAGTGTGAACCTGAATAGGAATTTTGGCTTTTATTTCAAAACTGGCTTCATTCCAAACATATGTCATTACACAGTGATCTCAATTACAGTAGGAATATTGCCTAGACGTTTTGCTAAATAGCCTGATTGTTTTTTTTATAGATGCAAGTATTTAAGCCCCATTTCAGCGGATGGAAGAGTGAACTGACACTATTTGCAAAACCTCTTCATTACATGGCAGACACAAACACCCAGAAACTTCTTTCTGTTGTGGATTTGTTTTTGTTACCTGAGATCCCTCCCTTCATTTTCCGTGAGTTCTTGTGGTTTTACGTAGTAAGAGTATAAATTATATAAGAGTGTGCAGAAATTAAGCAACTGCGACATAAAGGAGAAGGTTTGACAAACACAGTGGAAATCTGAAAAAAAAGATCTGTGTAGGAGTAAGAAAAAGACTTTCACAATCATTTCATAACCGTGAACAGTCCTTTACTATCCACTTATTTCTGGCTCGTTGTTGATGCAAAATAATGGAGACAGTTGTGAACAGCATTCCTGGTGTCTGCTTTCAGATTTTCTAACAACTGAAGTAGTTTAAAGAGCAGTCTTTATTACACAGACACCCAGTTATTTTGTAACGGTCTCTGACACACATAAGCTATATTCCCAGAAGTTGTCTGACTATTAATCCAGCTTCAGTAGTAGGCCTACGTCACAAATGTATTCACCACAGATGTGAACAGAGTAAAACAGAGTAAAATCTACTCACCCAAAAGAAGTGCCCACTTTAGCTCCATGTTAGGAAACCGTAAACAGCTGCTTTCTAAGTTAAGTATTTTTTTAATGCTTTTTAAAGGTTGGGGGTGTATTAAATTCATAAAATAAGCCTTCAGCTGACTTTTACTTCATGTCTTGAAACTCTTCAGCTCTTTCAGTGGTAGGGATGATAGATAGATAGAGATGATATAGATAGACAGATGATAGATAGATAGATAGATAGAGATGATAGATAGATAGACAGATGATAGATACAGATTATAGATAAATAGATGATAGACAGATGATAGATAGACAGATGATAGATACATAGATGATAGATAGACAGATGATAGATAGACAGATGATAGATAGATAGATAGAGATGATAGATAGATAGGCAGATGATAGATACAGATTATAGATAAATAGATGATAGACAGATGATAGATAGACAGATGATAGATACATAGATGATAGATAGACAGATGATAGATAGATAGACAGATGATAGATAGATGATATAGACAGATGATAGATACAGATTATAGATGGACAGATTATAGATAGACAGATGATAGATATAGATTATAGATAGACAGATGATAGATACAGATTATAGATTATAGATAGACAGATGATAGATAGATAGTCAGATGATAGATAGATACAGATTATAGATAGATATAGATTTTAGATATATGATAGATATATTTTAGTCTCAGAAGAACAATAATAATAAGTTTAATCAGATTTCAGTAAATAGGTTTTCTCAAGCTAACTTAACTATAAGATGACTCCTTTAGTCCAACACTTAACAGCATTAATATAAAAACAGTGGCCTAACATGAACTATACCAAAAGACATTCACACACTTACTAATAAATCAATTCAAGAATAAATCTTATTCTTTGGGGCGACACAACAGGCAAACTTAATGATATTTGATTAAATCATAAATTACAGGTGTTTCTGGAACATTCCTATCATATGAATTCAGACGAGTAGCTGACAAATATGGATTTTTTGATGGCAGATGCCGATATCTTAGAGAGCAGGGTGGCCGATATAAAGCCGATATATATATATATATATAAAACTGATATAACGAAACAATGAAATGTAACTTTTTTTATCCATTTTGTAAATGTGAAAATTTGAAAGATTGTATTAGATTGCAAAATTTGAACTTGACAAAAAAAATTTATCTGCAATAATCCTAATGTAGTATTTTTCACAAATAAAGTAATTGTTTAAAACATTAATAAAAAGGCAAAAAACACTATAACCAACAGTTCATCCAGTAATCTGGTCATTTAAAAAAAAATTTGGAGCACTGAGAACAAGCATAAAGTAGAGTGAACATGACATGAATATGATATGAATGCGACATGGCTTGGATCCATGCTTTAGATGCTGTCTTTCTTAGTGCTGCCAATATAAATGTCCCGCCACTGTCCGAATAAAACCCGCTTCTGACACTTATCGGCCAAAGAGGAAATATTATCGGTTAATGCCGATAATTTAAAAATGCCAAATATCGGCATATTTAGAATGCTTGGTTTATCTGGCATGAATCACACGGGAACATTCTGTGAGACTTCTGCATCCTTTTGTCATGTGTTTCTGAGTCATGGTGTGTTTTAAGCACCGGTTTGGACAGCAGGCAGTGCATGATGAAGATGAGCGCCCCCTGCAGGCTGTTGAGGATGATGAAGAGGTACAACATAACTTCAGTCCCTTTCTCCTGGAAGAGGAAGAAGCCGAAGATCCACGTTCCTCCAAGAATACACAACTGAGCCACAGCGGTCACCGTAAAGCTCCTACACACCAAATATAATTCATCAGAACCACTGATGCACAAACATCAAGACTGACTGAATCTATTTTGAGATCACACACCTGATCTGGTTGAGATTGGAGAGGTCTGGATTGAGGCTGGAGAACTTTCTGGCCAGTTTCCAGACGGTGATGATGAAGACAAAACCATTGAGGATCACAATGATGCAGACGGGTGCGAAGAAACTCAAGATAAAATAACGATCGTGAGAGAGCCAGCAGCTGCAGCACACACATGTTAGAATGATAAACTAGTCACATGATTACAAAACACTAGTTCAACCCTTTCATATTCATCCAGTACACACGCTACCTGAGAGAGAAACACATGTCACATCATTCTCCTGTTTGCTCGCAATAAACCTTCATTCATGTATCACCAGAGCTGGGTAGGAACTGATTACGTGTAATCTACATGAAGTACTCGTATTTAGATTATATGTGTCCCTAATTTTTTTTGAATGTTTAAATTTGTTACTTTTTTGTTATGTGAATGTTAACATTCCATTTTTTTTTTCATTTTGCAGACGTCATGGGAACGTTACTTTTGAATCTCTAAACATTCAATCCACGAGTGATTAAAGATGTTTTCGTGCTAATGTTTTGAGAACATTATTAAATTAATTAAAAAGAAGAGAACCTTGCCAATTACATTAGCCAAAGTTTGGAGAAGTTCCCTGTTAGCTGCGATATCTGAATTCAAACACACCTGATTGTGAGTGCTGGAGATCCCACAGAGGAAGACGAGGTCTGCGATGAAGAGACAGATGCTCAGATGGAGATGGATGCTGGTTCACCACGCCCTCAGACTCCGCCCTCTCCCGAAGAAGACAGGACAGTCTCAGAAATGAGTTAAGGAAACGAGGAACATGTGAACACCTGCCTCAAAAAGTTCAGAGAAAGGTTAGAATCTACACAAGAACTAAAGCGTCTTGACACAGAATTAATGCAGCTCTGAGCAGCAAATAAACCAGCTCCGCTCAGCTGGTCAAACCAGCTCAAGGTGTTCAGGCTGGTTTTTGGAACATTATAACTAAACAACCAGCGATAATCCATCTTAAACTGGATTTTCAAACAGGGAATGCAGTTTTTCAATGGTAATTGTGTAACCATTGACAGAAACAGTGTCCACTGAGATCTTGAGCTGATCTGTCAGTATCTTCACCTCCTCGTGTGTAAAGACGAGCATCACCGG